CTATAAACATGTACATCCTGAAGTCTAGTCAACAGTCTTTTATCTACCAGTACATAATCCAACAAACTACTGTCATTTTGCCCTACATCATATCTTGTATGCTTATTTATCCTCTCTTTCTTAAAATATGTATTACCTTTAACTAAACCCCTTTCTATAAAAAGTTCAATCAAAGGGCTCCCATTATCATTTACATCTGGCACCCCAAACTTACCTACCACACCCTCTCTCAAAGTTTCTCCTACTTTAGCATTCAGGTCCCCTTCCACAATTACTCTCTCACTTGGTTCAAAGGTTCCTATACATTCACTTAACATCTCCCAAAATCTCTCTCTCTCTCCTCTACATTCCTCTCTTCTCCAGGTGCATACACGCTCATTATGACCCACTTTTCGCATCCAACCTTTACTTTAATTCACATAATCCTTGAATTTACACATTCATATTCTCTTTTCTCCTTCCATAACTGATCCTTCAACATTATTGCTACCCCTTCCTTAGCTCTAACTCTCTCAGATACTCCAGATTTAATCCCATTTATTTCTCCCCACTGAAACCCCCCTGCCCCCTTCAGCTTTGTTTCGCTTAGGGCCAGGACATCCAACTTCTTTTCATTCATAACATCAGCAATCATCTGTTTCTTGTCATCCGCACTACATCCACGCACATTCAAGCATCCCAGTTTTATAAAGTTTCTCTTCTTCTCTTTTTTAGTAAATGTCTACAGGAGAAGGGGTTACTAGCCCATCGCTCCCGGCATTTTAGTCGCCTCATACGACACACATGGCTTACGGAGGAAAGATTCTTTTCCACTTCCCCATGGACAATAGAAGAAATAAAGAAGAACAAGAGCTTTTTAGAAAAAGGAGAAAAAACCTAGATGTATGTATATATATATGCATGTGCGTGTCTGTGAAGTGTGACCAAAGTGTAAATGGGAGTAGCAAGATATCCCTGTTATCTAGCATGTTTATGAGACACAAAAAGACACCAGCAATCCTACCATCATATGAAACAGTTACAGGTTTCTGTTTCACAGTCATCTGGCAGGATGGTAGTACTTCCCTGGGTGGTTGCTGTCTACCAACCTACTACCTGTTGCATGTATATATATATATATATATATTTTCATATAGCCGGACTTGAGTCCTGGAAATGGGAAGTACAATGCCTGCACTTTAAAGGAGGGGTTTTGGGATATTGGCAGTTTGGAGGGATATGTTGTGTATCTTTATATGTGTATGCTTCTGAACTGTTGTATTCTGAGCACCTCTGCAAAAACAGTGATAATGTGCGAGTGTGGTGAAAGTGTTGATTGATGATGAAAGTATTTTCTTTTTGGGGATTTTCTTTCTTTTTTGGGTCACCCTGCCTCGGTGGGAGACGGCCGACTTGTTGAAAAAAAAAGAAAAATAAAATATATATATATATATATATATATATATATATATATATATATTATATATATCCTAGGTAGTAGGTTGGTAGACAGCAATCGCCCAGGGAGGTACTACCGTCCTGCCAAGTGAGTGTAAAACGAAATCCTGTAATTGTTTTACATGATGGTAGGATTGCTGGTGTCCTTTTTTCTGTTTCATAAACATGCAAGATTTCAGTTACGTCTTGCTACTTCTACTTACACTTAGGTCACACTACACATACATGTGGGTTTTCTTCTATTTTCTTTCTAGTTCTTGTTCTTGTCTATTTCCTATTATCTCCATGGGGAAGTGGATCAGAATTCTTCCTCCGTAAGCCATGCGTGTTGTAAGAGGTGACTAAAATGCCAGGAGCAAGGTGCTAGTAACCCCTTCTCCTGTATATATTACTAAATGTAAAAGGAGAAACTTTCGTTTTCCCTTTTGGGCCACCCCGCCTCGGTGGGATACGGTGGTGTGTTGAAAGAAGAAAGAGATTATATATATATTATATATATAATTATATATATATATATATATATATCTTATATATATATATATATATACAGTGGACCCCCGCATAATGATTACCTCCGAATGCGACCAATTATGTAAGTGTATTTATGTAAGTGCATTTGTACGTGTATGTTTGGGGGTCTGAAATGGACTAATCTATTTCACAATATTTCTTATGGCAACAAATTCGGTCAGTACTGGCACCTGAACATACTTCTGGAGTGAAAAAATATCGTTAACCGGGGGTCCACTGTATATATATATATATATTTCTTTCTTTCAACACACCAGCCGTATCCCACCGAGGATACTAGTGAGGCTCAGGTTAGGGTGTGTAGAAGAGAGGGAGAATACTTCCCGGTAAAAGTAGGCATTAGACAGGGATGTGTAATGTCACCATGGTTGTTTAATATATTTATAGATGGGGTTGTAAAGGAAGTAAATGCTAGGGTGTTCGGGAGAGGGGTGGGATTAAATTTTGGGGAATCAAATTCAAAATGGGAATTGACACAGTTACTTTTTGCTGATGATACTGTGCTTATGGGAGATTCTAAAGAAAAATTGCAAAGGTTAGTATATGAGTTTGGGAATGTGTGTAAAGGTAGAAAGTTGAAAGTGAACATAGAAAAGAGTAAGGTGATGAGGGTATCAAATGATTTAGATAAAGAAAAATTGGATATCAAATTGGGGAGGAGGAGTATGGAAGAAGTGAATGTTTTCAGATACTTGGGAGTTGACGTGTCGGCGGATGGATTTATGAAGGATGAGGTTAATCATAGAATTGATGAGGGAAAAAAGGTGAGTGGTGCATTGAGGTATATGTGGAGTCAAAAAATGTTATCTATGGAGGCAAAGAAGGGAATGTATGAAAGTATAGTAGTACCAACACTCTTATATGAGTGTGAAGCTTGGGTGGTAAATGCAGCAGCGAGGAGACGGTTGGAGGCAGTGGAGATGTCCTGTCTAAGGGCAATGTGTGGTGTAAATATTATGCAGAAAATTCAGAGTGTGGAAATTAGGAAAAGGTGTGGAGTTAATAAAAGTATTAGTCAGAGGGCAGAAGAGGGGTTGTTGAGGTGGTTTGGTCATTTAGAGAGAATGGATCAAAGTAGAATTGACATGGAAAGCATATAAATCTATAGGGGAAGGAAGGCGGGGTAGGGGTCGCCCTCGAAAGGGTTGGAGAGAGGGAGTAAAGGAGGTTTTGTGGGCGAGGAGCTTGGACTTCCAGCAAGCGTGTGTGAGCGTGTTAGATAGGAGTGAATGGAGACGAATGGTACTTGGGACCTGACGATCTGTTGGAGTGTGAGCAGGGTAATATTTAGTGAAGGGATTCAGGGAAACCTGTTATTTTCACATAGTCGGACTTGAGTCCTGGAAATGGGAAGTACAATGCCTGCACTTTAAAGGAGGGGTTTGGGATATTGGCAATTTGGAGGGATTTGTAATATATCTTTATATATGCTTCTAAACTGTTGTATCTGGGTGCCTTTGCAAAAATAGTGATTATGTATGAGTGAGGTGAAAGTGTTGAATGATGATGAAAGTATTTTTGTTTTGGGGATTTTCTTTCTTTTTGGGTCACCCTTCCTAGGTGGGAGACGGCCGACTTGTTGAAAAAAAAAATATATGTATATATACACATAGTGGAACCTCAGTATATGAGCAGCTCCCCAGACTTCAACCCTATTGAGAACCTCTGGTTAATAGTGAAACAAAGTTTACTGGCTGGGCAAGGACGTCAGTTCCATCTCGCGGCTGGAGGCTGCTCTACACGAGGCATGGAATAATATACCTCCCCAAAGCCTTGAGAATTTGTGAGTCTTCCTACACGGCTGAGGGACGTGATTAAGCATAAAGGACGCAGCAGCAAGTATTAAAACCTCAGTAAATGTGCGAATATTTATATTATAATCTTTCATGGTATGTGTACGTGTTTTGGTACATGTGGTGGGAAGGGGGGTATAATGCCGTGACTAGCACTATATATATTTGCACACTTACTGAGGTTTTAATACTTGGTGCTGCGTCCTTTATGCTTAATCACATCCCTCAACCATGTAGGAAGACTCTCTCACAAATTCTTGAGGGTTTGGGGAGGTATATTATTCCATGTCTCATGTAGAGCAGCCTCCAGCCACGGGATGGAACTGATATCCTTGCCCAGTAAACTTCGTTTCACTATTGACCAGAGGTTCTCAATAGGCTTTAAGTCTTAGGGAATTGCCTGGCCAGTCATTAAAGAACCTCACTTCACAGTCCTTATGCCATTGAACTACAGATTTGGCAGTATGACACGGTGCACCATCCTGCATAAAAACCGTAGCCCCACACTTGTCAAACGCCTCAGGTAAATTGTCATACAATAACTCCAGGTAATTATACTGGTTCATATACTTGTTTTTGGGAACCACAATGAGTTCACCAACACCTCTCGTGTATACATTACTAAAGTTAAAAAGAGAAACTTTTGTTTTTGGGCTGCCCTGCCTGAGTGGGATACCCCCAGTGTGTTGAAAGAAGATATGTATATGTGTGTGTGTAATAATAGGTTGTAAGTAAGCATAGGTCTCTAATACTGATAAGCCTACCTGATGTAGGCCTATTAACCACCACAAACACATCTGTTGTACTTATATGAAGGTAAGTGTTTCAGTTTATTTCCTTGAAGGTTTCTTGATGCTGGTAAAGGCTCTTGATCCAAAGAAGAGGAGCTGCTCTTCTTGGAATCAAACTTGATTTTCTTCCATTCTGCCTCTATGAGTTTTCCACTTCCTCACATCTAATATAATAATATAATAATAATAATAATAATAATAATAATAATAATAATAATAATAATAATAAAATAATAATAAAAATAATAATAATAATAATAATAATAATAATAATAATAATAATAATAATAATGAAAATAATAATGGTAGTACTTATAATAAAAATGCTACAGTAATAATAATATAAAAAATATAATAGTAATAATTATAATAATAATAGTAATAATAGTAGTAGTAGTTATAAATGAGTGTTGTGGAGCACCTTAAAGATTTAGTGGTGGTTGTGCAGCACGTTGGGAGAGACACTCAAGACAGTACTGAAGGACCTGGACATCAAGTCGTCAGACAGCAGAAAGGTCAACTTCGCAAACTTCAACAACAACCTGCACAGTTACGTGCCGGCGGAGGGCATACCAAGACGACAGGACGACTCCCACGAGCTAGAGGAACTCAACAAAGCCATCGACCAAGTTAGGTTAGCCATAGTCGTACTCTTTTATGAATTAGTTGTTTCTGGTACTGGTGAGCTGAGGAATTAGGCATGTGTGCAACACCTGGGTGTGTTTATTGTTGAATCAGGCATATGTGCAACACCTGTGTGTGTTTATTGTTGAATCAGGCATATGTGCAACACCTGGGTGTGTTTATTGTTGAATCAGGCATATGTGCAACACCTGTGTGTGTTTATTGTTGAATCAGGCATATGTGCAACACCTGGGTGTGTTTATTGTTGAATCAGGCATATGTGCAACACCTGGGTGTGTTTATTGTTGAATCAGATATATGTGAAACACCTATGTGTTTATTGTTGAATCAGACATATGTGCAACACCTATGTGTTTATTGTTGAATCAGGCATATGTGCAAACCTGTGTGTGTTTATTGTTGAAATAGATATGTTTGCAACACTTGCATAGGTCTTCTAATCATTGACTTGAAGTCAGTGGTTGGCAAGGATAGTCAGGTGTTGCAAAAGTCTCCAGTGCTGCAGAGTGGCTTATTCGTCAATAAGGATATGCAAGTGTTCCACACATCTGACACGTGTACCATTATCCTGTATAGAACGTGTATCAAATCCATCAACATTTTCAAAAATTCTTAAAGTTGTCCACAAACATCTAGATTTTCACTTAACATACCTTGCTCCTCACTGATTTAGTCTAAAACCTAAATAAATACCAAGACCATGAGACTGAAAGAGCACTACAATAGGCCTACTTGCCTTAAAATGCTGGACTCAGTACCAAAAACTAGCATTCTGTTGGAGTTCCATTGATCTGTGTAAGGCTCTCAAGTTGATCACATTCTTCAACTAAATCATTGTTGATTTAGAGGGCTTTTTGTCAAATTCTAAAACTAAATAGTCTCAGTGTTCCCTCAAGGTTATACATGATCAACACTGACGAGTGTTAATCAGATGTGTTACAGTGTTGTATAAATGGTCCAGTATTTTATGTTGGTATTGTATAACTGGTCGAGTATTGCATGAGTGCTCCTGTATTGTAATTGTATACATATGTACAATTCTGGGCCTTAGTTCAATGTGTTAATCTTGCAGACTTCAGGGGATCAAACTCGAGGATCGCAGAAATTCAATAAATGAGAAAGTTATAAGAAAAGAGAAGAAGAAGAAAGATCGGAAGGAGAAGAAAGAGAGGAAGGAGAAGAAAAAGAAATTGAAACTGGGCGAAGAGTTTTCAGAGGAGCGGCAGAGGAAGCACAGCATTGTTGAGAACATAGAACAGCAACACAGCAGCTCCCCCTCTTGTTCAGGTCTGCCGTCATCCTCGCACTCCCGCAACAACTCTGAAGGGGACACTCCGCCGCAGGTTTTGTCTGATCCGTTGCTGGAGACGTCACTTCAGCCCTTCGACGACCTCAATACAAACCTAGCGGCATCGGTGGAAAACTCCAGCAGTGGGGAAATAGTTTCAACAGAACCCGAGCCTTTTGAACGTCTTCCTTCACCGACCAGCAGAGGAACGACACCTTCACCAGAAGACAGGTTGTCTACCACAAACACAGAGAAGCCTGCCACACCAGCACAAAACACAATGGCGGACTCTGCCCCAGAACTAGAGCCCGAAGAATTAGCCCCCGCACCCACCGAGAGTTCCAGCGAGCCAGCGAGGGAGCCTTCGCCCATAGAGCCCATACCAGAGGTGGAACGTGAGCCTCCCATTGTCTTCAAAGACGAACTGGATGTGAGTACTGGTTGTGACGAGGGTGGTTCTCTCTATGACATGTGCTTCAACCTCAACCCCACCTCTAGTTCACTCAACCCCACCTCTAGTTCACTTAACCTCAACCTCATACATAGATCACCTAACCTTTCCCCATGTTTGTCCATGTCAGATTCTTCCTCTGCCTCCTCTGATTCTAATTTATATCTGTGGTCCTTCTCTTCCTCCTCCTCCTCTTCTTCCTCCTCTAACTCTTCCAATTCCTCCCCATTATTTTTTTATTCCTCTTCTTTATCAACTTCTTCTTCCTCTTCTTCCATCTCATCTTCATCATCTTCCTCTTCTCAGACATCAGAAAAAAGCTCATTTACATCTTCCCATTCTTCTAAATCTGAGGACTCTGATGTCAACAATAACTTGCCAGATCCATCAACAGTTCCACCATACTGCACTATGGAGGCTTCTGCTCCACCATACCACACTCCAACCTCTGCTCCACCATACCACACCCCAGCCTCTCCTACTCCACCGTACCACACCCCAGCCTCTCCTGCTCCACCGTACCATACCCCAACCTCTCCTACTCCACCATACCACACCTCAGCCTCTCCTGCTCCACCATATCACACCTCAGAGTCTGCTCCACCGTCTTATCCCAGTTCTCCTCCAGCATACAGTGCCAGACACAAGTCTCCCACGTCTCTTTCCCGGTCTTCCACAGTAGCATCAGACTTATCAGTATGTTCCTCAACATCGGCCCTCTCTTTCGGGTCCTCCTACTACCTTCTCTATGTAGTCGACCCAATTGGTCGTGTCCCAACACCTGAAGAATTACCTTCGTCCCCAGAAGCCTCGCCCTCGCCACCAAAATTGAGTCGTTGCAATTCAAATGCTTCGGTGTCTTCAGTGGACACGATGCGTACAGTCACTCCTGATCAACAGTATTTTGACATTAACAATGCGGCATTCCGCCACATGCACGGAATCTCACGTTCAACTTCATACGAATCTTGCCTAACCTGGCGGTCACGATCACGCTCCCTTTCCTACGACTCGTCCTCTACGCTACAACTTCAATCACACAATAAAAATCCCACTGCTCTGCACTTTACATTGTCCCCAGTGGCTCCGTCGCCACCAGCGACGCCTTCCCCTACCACCCGCTCTCAGCCGGCATCGCCGGTACTTCCCCGTGTCATCCCTCCCTCACGTGCTTACTCCTTGGAATCCATGACTTCTTTCTTGCGACAAATTCCTCGTGTTTCCTCCTCTTTTGAATCCATTTCCACCTTTGAGTTGGCCCCATCTTCCTGCTCCACATCTCCGCTCCCCCGAGGTGAACAGCATCCCGACCGACCCTCCTCGACGGACTCGCCCATCCTGTTGGAGTCCCAAAACAGAAACCTTCACGGGTCGCAAGATTCAGTCATGGTATATCGTCCAGTTCCACGATACAGTAACACTGACCCCGGCTCCCCCGAGCCCCAGTCTGCCCTCCTCTGCTACCTGGGGCCGGCACGACCATACGAGCCGCCAGTCATCTACGCCGACGTTGCCCGGAAGGTGGGTATCTGCAGCCTCACCCGAGTACCCTGCCATCTGCGTGCCCCGACGGTGACTCCCTACAACTACCACCCACCTTCCATCAGTCTACCATCTACCACTTCCACCGTAGTTCTTCCTATCACCCGCATGATGACAATGTTGCTGCAGTTGTTCACAAGGGCGGGGCTGCTGCCACATTTGTACCTCTTGTATACTTGATCCTGAAATATATTTTATTTACAGTCGAGCATCAAGAGTTGAGAATCCTACATGGTAAAGAATAAGTTGCACTACCCAGTGGCTTAAGCCAGGGTCTCAATCTGGGGGAGATGAAGCCAGGGCTTCAGTCTAGGCCAACTTAAATATACAAAAGTTCTGAAACTATCGTGATATTGTGGTTCATAAGGTGGAAATTAACCACTAATTAGTTCCATTAGTAATGGTGTGTTAGTGCCCACCTGGGCAGTGGTGATGCTGTGTCTCCCATGATGGGACATATCCCTAACCTCTTATATTGAACCTCTCAGTTATCTTACCTCTGACAGCATTTTGTTCCTTGACATAGAACAGGCTCCCATGTTACATAGAACAGGCTCCCATGTTACATAGAGCAGGCTCCCATGTTACATAGAACAGGTTCCCATGTTACATAGAGCAGGCTCCCATGTTACATAGAACAGGCTCCCATGTTACACAGAGCAGGCTCCCATGTTACATAGAGCAGGCTCACATGTTACATAGAACAGGCTCCCATGTTACATAGAGCAGGCTCCATGTTACATAGAACAGGCTCCATGTTACATAGAACAGGCTCCCATGTTACATAGAACAGGCTCCCAAGTTACATAGAGCAGGCTCCCATGTTACATAGAACAGGCTCTCATGTTACATAGAGCAGGCTCCCATGTTACATAGAACAGGCTCCCATGTTACATAGAGCAGGCTCCCATGTTACATAGAACAGGCTTCCATGTTACATAGAGCAGGCTCCCATGTTACATAGAACAGGCTCCCATGTTACATAGAGCAGGCTCCCATGTTACATAGAACAGGCTCCTATGTTACAGAGCAGGCTTCCATGTTACATAGAGCAGACTCCCATGTTACATACAGCAGGCTCCCATGTTACATAGAGCAGGCTTCCATGTTACATAGAGCAGGCTCCCATGTTACACAGAGCAGCCTCCCATGTTATATACAGCATGCTTCCATGTTACATAGAGCAGGCTTCCATGCTACATACAGCAGGCTCCCATGTTACATAGAACAGGCTTCCATGTTACATAGAGCAGGCTCCCATATTACAAACAAAGCAGGCTGCCATGTTACAAACAAAGCAGGCTGCCATGTTACAAACAATGCAGGCTGCCATGTTACAAACAATGCAGGCTGCCATGTTACAAACAAAGCAGGCTGTCATGTTACAAACTTAGCAGGCTGCCATGTTACAAACAATGCAGGCTGATATGTTACAAACAAAGCAGGCTGCCATGTTACAATGCAGGCTGCCATGTTACAAACAAAGCAGGCTGCCATGTTACAATGCAGGCTGCCATGTTACAAACAAAGCAGGCTGCCATGTTACAATGCAGGCTGCCATGTTACAAACAAAGCAGGCTGCCATGTTACAAACAAAGCAGGCTGCCATGTTACAAACAGTGCAGGCTGCCATGTTACAAACAAAGCAGGCTGCCATGTTACAAACAAAGCAGGCTGCCATGTTACAAACAAAGCAGGCTGCCATGTTACAAACAAAGCAGGCTGCCATGTTACAAACAAAGCAGGCTGCCATGTTACAAACAGTGCAGGCTGCCATGTTACAAACAAAGCAGGCTGCCATGTTACAAACAAGCAGGCTGCCATGTTACAAACAAAGCAGGCTGCCATGTTACAAACAAGCAGGCTGCCATGTTACAAACAAAGCAGGCTGCCATGTTACAAACAGTGCAGGCTGCCATGTTACAAACAAAGCAGGCTGCCATGTTACAAACAAAGCAGGCTGCCATGTTACAAACAAAGCAGGCTGCCATGTTACAAACAAAGCAGGCTGCCATGTTACAAACAAAGCAGGCTGCCATGTTACAAACAGTGCAGGCTGCCATGTTACAAACAAAGCAGGCTGCCATGTTACAAACAATGCAGGCTGCCATGTTACAAACAAAGCAGGCTGCCATGTTACAAACAAAGCAGGCTGCCATGTTACAAACAAAGCAGGCTGCCATGTTACAAAGCAGGCTGCCATGTTACAAACAATGCAGGCTGCCATGTTACAAACAAAGCAGGCTGCCATGTTACAAACAAAGCAGGCTGCCATGTTACAAACAAAGCAGGCTGCCATGTTACAAACAGTGCAGGCTGCCATGTTACAAACAATGCAGGCTGCCATGTTACAAACAAAGCAGGCTGCCATGTTACAAACAGTGCAGGCTGCCATGTTACAAACAAAGCAGGCTGCCATGTTACAAATGCCTCCTCAACTTATATATTCAACAACAAACTGGAAGCTTGGCAATTCTTTCAGATCACCAGAGATCACACAGTGCTCTTGTGTTCACTAATTTCCAACATTATTCACTTAAGTGGCACCTGAAGCAAGACCGTCAGGTTATGTTGGAAGGTGAACTAGCAGGCCCCCTCGAGGTGAACTAGCAGGCCCCCTCATGGTGAACTAGCAAGCCCCTCATGGTGAACTAGCAAGCCCCTCATGGTGAACTAGCAGGCCCCTCATGGTGAACTAGCAGGCCCCTCATGGTGAACTAGTGGCCCCTCAGTGTGAACTAGCAGGCCCCTCAGTATGAACTAGCAGGTCCCTCACGGTGAACTAGCAGGTCCCTCACGGTGAACTAGCAGGTCCCTCATGGTGAACTAGCAGGCCCCCTCATGGTGAACTAGCAGGCCCCTCATGGTGAACTAGCAGGCCCCTCATGGTGAACTAGCAGGCCCCTCACGGTGAACTAGCAGGTCCCTCACGGTGAACTAGCAGGTCCCTCACGGTGAACTAGCAGGCCCCTCAGGGTGAACTAGCAGACCCCACAAGGCAGGTTCTTTGGTGCTTCTGAGAGGGTTCTTGAACAGAGAAATTGAACCTGCTCATACTTAAACCTGATTTCCTGCAATTTCCCAAGGCTCTATGAATCCCAAGGATTTAGCACTTCCTGTAATAATATTTTTTTAGTACAGTGGTCATCTCCCACCACGGCAGAGTGACCTGAAAGATGAAGAAACACTTTCACCATCTTTCATTCAATCACTGTCTTCCCATAAACATAACTAGTATGGATTTGACTGAATGTGATGACCTGGTTCAACCACTAATATACTAGGTCATGTATAAATTTACTGTCATGTGATCAGCCAGGACCAGGTACCTGGGTGTTAGTTACCTTATACCTGCTGTCACTGTTCACCTAGCAGTAAGTAGGTACCTAGGTGTTGGTTACCTTATATCTACTGTCACTGTTCACCTGGCAGTAAGTTGGTACCTGGGTGTTAGTCGACTGTTGTGGGTTGCATCCTGAGGGGTGGTGGCATACCTTAGATAGGGCTGGGATTTGAAACGATCTGAGGTAGGATAACGGCTCTTAGCCTGTACAGTTAATGTATGTACAGCAAATTTTTCAGTTATTATCTTGTCTTGATCGTCTCTGGTCCTGAGGAATCTCAACACTCTGTGCTCGACTGATAACTCAAAATTATCATTTGTGTGAAATATAACTTTTTCTTTGCCTGAAAAAATGCTATGGGTCCAACGTAATCAGACATCTGGTGTTCATGTTTGCTCGCACAAGGGTGTACATGATGTTCATGATTTAGAAAAAAAGAAATCAAATCATGGAGTTGGTGTTTGCAATGGTGTTATGATTTAATGATTCGTGTTGCAGGTCAATGTTGAGTTTGATGGTCTGGTATCAACGTGTGCACATCTCCTGAGCCCTGAAGAACAGGGCCACATGGAGGAGTTGCGAGCATACGTGGTGGAAGACGAGGGCTCCTGGGCCCTTGGAGAGAACTTCAGTATCCTCTTCTCTCGTGTGCTTCATGACCCCAGCATCCCTGACCAGGCTAGACTCCACCTGGTCCGTATCATGGCAGCTGCAGCTCTAAAGGATGATGTGATACTCCTGCTGCACCAGGATCGACGTGATCACACCATCATGAACTACGCCAACAAGGTGGAAAGTCTACCTCCTGAACACCAAGAATCTCTTGCTCTCTTTGTAAGTGTACCACACACACACCTTGTTATACCACACACACCTTGTTAGACCATACACACACACACACACCTTGATATACCACACACACATATACTCACCTTTTCATACCACACACACCTTGTTATACCAATACCACACATACACACACTTTGTTATACCACAATACACACACCTTGTTATACATACATACACACCTTGTTATACCATACATACACACACACCTTGTTATACCACACATACACACACACCTTGTTATACCCCACACACACAACCTTGTATACCCACACACACACACACCTTGTTATACCCACACATACACACACCTTGTTATACCACACAACACACACCTTGTTATACCCACACACACACACACACACACACACACACACACACACACACACACACACACCTTGTTATACCAACACATACACACACTTTGTTATACCACACATACACACACATTGTTATACCTACACACACACCTTGTTATACCCCCACACACACACACACACACACACACACACACACACACACACACACACACACACACACACACACCTTGTTATACTACACATACACACACCTTGTTATGCCATATACACCTTGTTATACTACTCACACATACACCTTGATGTGTGTTATGAACACAGGTGTAGTCTAGTGGCCTGCACACCTTTTTGTAGCAAGATAACCAAGGTAGAAATAAGGAATGAGCAAAAGTCAGTGATTAATTTTTTTAGGCAGGGTGGCCTAAAAAGAAAAATGAAAGATTTTTCTTTTTAAATTTAGCATATAATGTATACAGGAGAAGGGGTTACTAGCCCCTTGCTCCTGGCATTTTATGACATGCATGGAGGAAGAATTATTTTCCACTTCCCCATGGAGATAAGAGGAAACAAAGAAGAACAAGAACTATTTAGAAAATAGAAGAAAACCCAGATGGGTGTGTAAATATATATACATGAAAATGAATGTGTAGTGTGTCCTAAGTGTAAGTAGAAGTAGGAAGATATACCTGTTATCCCACATGTTTATGAGAGAAAAAACCCTGGAAAAACAATTACAGGCTTCTGTTTTACACTCACTTGGCAGGACAGTAGCATCTCCCTGGTTGGTTGCTGTCTACCAACCTACTACCTAGGAATGATTAAATACTTAAATATATTTCCTCTCTAGGTAGTAGGTTGGTAGACAGCACTGCCCAGGGACATTGGTAGTAGGTTGGCAGTCAGCACTGCCCAGGGAGGTACTACCGTCCTGTAGTAGTAGGTTGGCAGACAGCACTGCCCAGGGAGGTACTACCATCCTGTGGTAGTAGGTTGGCAGTCAGCACTGCCCAGGGAGGTACTACCATCCTGTGGTAGTAGGTTGGCAGTCAGCACTGCCCAGGGAGGTACTACCGTCCTGTAGTAGTAGGTTGGCAGACAGCACTGCCCAGGGAGGTACTACCGTCCTGTGGTAGTAGGTTGGCAGACAGCACTGCCCAGGGATGTACTACTGTCCTGTGGTAGTAGGTTGGTAGACAGCACTGCCCAGGGACATTGGTAGTAGGTTGGCAGTCAGCACTGCCAAGGGAGGTACTACCGTCCTGTGGTAGTAGGTTGGCAGACAGCACTGCAAGGGAGGTACTACCGTCCTGTTAGTAGTTGTAGACAGCACTGCCCAGGGACATTGGTAGTAGGTTGGCAGTCAGCACTGCCAAGAGAGGTACTACCGTCCTGTGGTAGTAGGTTGGCAGACAGCACTGCCCAGGGATGTACTACTGTCCTGTGGTAGTAGGTTGGTAGACAGCACTGCCCAGGGAGGTACTATCATCCTGTGGTAGTAGGTTGGCAGACAGCACTGCCCAGGGAGGTACTACCATCCTGTGGTAGGTTGGTAGACAGCACTGCCCAGGGAGGTACTACCGTCCTGTAGTAGTAGGTTGGCAGACAGCACTGCCCAGGGAGGTACTACCGTCCTGTGGTAGTAGGTTGGCAGACAGCACTGCCCAGGGATGTACTACTGTCCTGTGGTAGTAGGTTGGCAGACAGCACTGCCCAGGGATGTACTACTGTCCTGTGGTAGTAGGTTGGTAGACAGCACTGCCCAGGGACATTGGTAGTAGGTTGGCAGTCAGCACTGCCCAGGGAGGTACTACCGTCCTGTGGTAGTAGGTTGGCAGACAGCACTGCCCAGGGATGTACTACTGTCCTGTGGTAGTAGGTTGGTAGACAGCACTGCCCAGGGAGGTACTACTGTCCTGTGGTAGTAGGTTAGCAGACAGCACTGCCCAGGGAGATATTACCGTCCTGTGGTAGTAGGTTGGTAGACAGCACTGCCCAGGGAGGTACTATCATCCTGTGGTAGTAGGTTGGCAGACAGCACTGCCCAGGGAGGTACTACCATCCTGTGGTAGGTTGGTAGACAGCACTGCCCAGGGAGGTACTACCGTCCTGTGGTAGTAGGTTGGCAGACAGCACTGCTCAGGGAGGTACTACTGTCCTGTGGTAGTAGGTTGGTAGACAGCACTGCCCAGGGAGGTACTACCATCCTGTGGTAGTAGGTTGGCAGACAGCACTGCCCAGGGAGGTACTACCATCCTGTGGTAGTAGGTTGGCAGACAGCACTGCCCAGGGAGGTACTACCATCCTGTGGTAGTAGGTTGGCAGACAGCACTGCCCAGGGAGGTACTACTGTCCTGTGGTAGTAGGTTGGTAGACAGTAACTGCCCAGGGAGGTACTACCATCCTGCCAAGTGAGTGTAAAATGGAAGCCTGTAATTGTTTTACATGATGGTAGGATTGTTGGTGTCTTTTTTGTGTCCCATAAACATGTAAGATTTCAGGTACATCGTGCTACTTCTTCTTACACTTAGGTCACACTACACATACATGTGCAAGCATATATACACACCCATCTGGGTTTTCTTTTTTTTTTTTACTAATTCTTGTTCTTGCTTATTTCCACTTATCTCCATGGGGAAGTGGAACAGAATTCTTCCTTCGTAAGCCATGCGTGTTGTAAGAGGTGACTAAAATGCTGGGAGCAAGGGGCTTGTAACCCCTTCTCCTGTATACATTACTAAATTTAAAAAGAGAAACTTTTGTTTTTGGGCCACCCTGCCTTGGTGGGATACGGCTGGTGTGTTGAAAGAAACAGAAAGATATAGAGATATATACAGTAGGGCCTCACTTATATGGCAGGTTAGGTTTCAGGCTACCGCCGTAAAGCGGAAATCGCCATTAAGTGGAACACCCTTTTCACTTATAAATGCATAGAAATACTAGATAAGTTTACACTAGCATATATTAAGTTAGCAATAGAACTTGGCATTAAAAAACAATAAAAAAGTAAAATACACATATAGCACACTCATTACTTACCTTAAAATATTTGTAGTCTTAATCTAGGGTGAGGTGAGTAGTATTTATTGTAAGAAATCAAGTGTGGTATTTATAGTCAGCCAGGCTACCATACCAGGACAACCTACCCACACATAATATTCTATGATATTTAAGTGTCCCAGAGTGATAAAATGCATATACAGTTCACTCATTACTTACCTTAAAATATTTGTAGTCTTAATGTAGGGTCAGAGGTGAGTAAATGAGATAAAACGAATAAATGAGAGAGAGAATAAGTACATGAGAGAGGACAGGCACGGAGTAATGTAAACAAACCAGGCGAACACGTCTGGTTTGTGTACAAGTTCTCTCTGCATTGATATGGTAGAATAAATAAAGAGGAACACTCCTATTCTCTTGTAACACCATTTTTAGAAGAAATGACATTCTGAGTGAAGGCATACGAAAGGAATAATTTTCTACAGTTACCCCCAGTAACACATTTTCTCTTATGTTGGACTAGAGAAAACGTTATTCTTGCCATCACTCGTACAAGTCGTCTGGCTACCACATCTCATGTTTATGTTAATTAATTCTACTGTGGGGTGTATTTATCATCTTTATATGTTACGTATCGTGTTTATGTAATTTTGGAAAAAATGTCATAGATGGATTAATGAAAATGTGTATATTAATGTAATATACAGCATTTAATGAGACACTGTGATTATTATTGAGTATTATTATCATTATTAATACGTATAGCATCTCGAGACAATGTGTACCTGCATGCCAGCACAGTGTGTTAGTTTATTTAGGTACAGGTATACATATGGATAATTTTCAGAGTACAGTGGACCCTTGGTTATCGGCCGTAATCCGTTCCAGAAGGTCGGCCGAAAACCAAAATGGCTGAAGACCGAAATAATATTTCCCATAAGAATTAATGTAAATACAATTAATCCATTCCAGACAAAAATATTCACAAAAAAATAGTTTTTTTAACAATTATATAAATACGTATTACATACCTTTATTGAAGGCTAATGCTGGCTTCTTGAAGATAGGGAGGAGGAAAGAGGGAGGAGTTAGTGTTTGGAAGGGGAATCCCCCTCCATAAAGACATTAGGTAGCAAAGCCTTCTCTGGGGTTACTTCCCTTCTTTGTCTTTTAATGCCACTAGGACCAGCTTGAGAGTCACTGAACCCCTGTCTCACAAAATAACTGTCCAGAGTGCTCTGTTTCTGGCATCTCTAAGATTTCCTTGAAGTGGGTCAGGGTTTTATCACTAAACATGTTGCAGATATGGCTTGTTTCAGCTTTGTTAGGGTGGTGTTTCTCTACAAAAGCTTGAACCCTGGTCCACATTGCACACACCTCTTTAATCTCTGAAGAAGGCACCTCCTTCACTCCCTCTTCCTTCTCCTCTGAAGCAAGTTCCTCAGCTGCAGTCTGTTGCTGTTGGAGATGAAGCTTTTGCAGCTCTTCAGTGGTTAGCTCTTCCCTGTGGTCCTCCACCAACTCTTCCACATCCTCGCCACTCACCTCCAACCCCAGGGACTTCCCTAGTGCCACAATAGAGTCCACAGAGTTGGCAGGGTCAGGGTCAGCCTCAAACTCTTCAAAATCCCTCTCTTGGACACAATCTGGCCACAGTTTTCTCCAAGCAGAGTT